AAGGTCGCCCGCGTGGTGCAGTGTTTGAGCGTCTGCTCTAGAGTAAGGAGCTGATCCTTATCGCATGTTCGAATCCCACTGCGAGACGTGGATACCGTTCCTTTGCGCAAGACTGTATAAACCCAGGTCCCGTGCCATATAAGTGCTGGCATGATAAAGATCCCTCACTGCTTAAAGGCCCTAAATGCCAAACATAGGTCAATATTTGCAGCTCTCCACCGGCATGTGGTGGCATGTCCATATGAGTGAAAAATTCGAGAGAGAGAGAGAGACGTTAAACAACAAACAAATCAAACTCAAAAGATCAACAATATTGATATCCCTGAAGAGAATACATGTGAAGTATGAAAGACCTAGCACCGACTGTTTGAAAGTTATGGCTAATGTTAAAGATTGATAATTTTTGTAAAAGTGGGTCACACTCCAAGGTTAAGAGGTCAAATAAGTTGGTACCCAAAGAAAGACCTTGTAATAAGGAATACATATTTCAAATATGAAAGCCATAAACCCAGCCAATCAAACGTTAAGGGCAAAGTTATAGATTTTGCGGACAAACAGACTGACGGACAAAATGGGCAAAGACTATCCCCGGAGTCTTGCATTACCGGTGGGGGACATAAAAACAACTCTTAAATATATATAAATTTTTATTAATGTACAATATTAATAAATGTATTAAATGCTCACAGGAGAGGGGAAAAAATCATCTGATTTTTAACTCGAACCCTCATACACAGAATTAAAGATGAAAGGGCGATAAGGACTGGCTTACTGCACTGCTAAGAAGAAAATCTATTGAGTGTTGCCAAATCTAACTACATTAAAGGAGGATTTTTATTCTGCGGTTTGACAAAATGTGAAATGCATGTATCTCAGGGAAATTTCTGTCAAAAGTATTTAAATGTTCTTGTAGACCCTGTTCTTTATGAGCATGACTTTAGTTGAATCTGCATCATGAGAGAATACTTAATAATTTTGGTAAATCACATTCTTGCTTTCCTGAACAAAGAAACTGGGGGGATAAGCCAAGCCATATGCCTACATACCGATCGATAAAAATTCAGTAAATTCATTTTAAAAAAATTTCACTTTTTGTTCAATTAATGTAATGCTTATTACCATTTGCATACAAATTTGACAAAACCTGAATACTGTAACAGCGAAAATGATTCTGATTAACACAAAAAATGGCATCACGCTCAATTTTCACAAAAACTGACATAAATTGAATTGATTGATTGTATGTTGTTGAACGTCCCATTCGAGAATTTTTCACTCATATAGAGACGTCACCATATACCGGTGAAGGGCTTCAAATTTTGACCTTTACTCGGCACTCAGGGCCATTGAGCAGTGAGGGATCTTTATCGTGCCAACGCCTGCCGTGACACGGGGCCTCGGTTTTTAAGGTCTCATCCGAAGAACCCACAACTTTGACTTCAAAGTGCCGAGCGCATGGCGAAGGAACAGTTGCTACCCATTTTTTATCGACTTAGGTCAGTCGCGGCCGAGATTCGAACTCACGACCTCCCGATCACGGAGCGAGCGCTCTACCGACTGAGCTACCGTGAACGGTAACATAAATTGGATGATATAACTACATTTTTTAAATAGAGTGGGTCATCGTACCATTTTTTTAGAACGATTAATGAAAGGCAATGGAAAGATGTTGCTTTCTACACTTGCAAAAATTTGGTACGAAGACCCACTCTACATAAAAAATTAAGTTAACTTACTTAAATTTTCACCGTGGTCTTAAAAAATTCTAAGTCCAAATACGCTTGCTAAATATAGAGAACTGTATGCTATTTAAATGTGTATGTATGTGTGACTCCGTGGTATAGTGATTAGCGAGGAGCTCTTTAAAGGGACGTTTATTGAGGAAAGTGTTCGAGTCATAATTTTTTATTTTTTGGGGAGGGGGTTAATTTTGTTTAACTTTATACAAAATGTCTATAGGAATAACATATTTTCACTGGAAATAATATATATATATATATATATATATATATATATATATATATATATATATATATATATATATATATATATATGTAGTAATGAACTCATTTACAGTAAATTATTTAAAATGCCGGATAAAAATTATAATAGATATTTGAATACTTTTATTCCCGTTTTTATTTATTTTTACCACAAGCGCTCCTAGATCACCACTATCATTATATACAATGTTAACATTTGTATAATATCTCCACAATAAGTGTTAACACTCAATATCTATACTACTATATTAAAATAATAGACTCGAATTTTTGGCCTTTAATACCGATAAATCGGAAGAGTACTGTCTATTGTTTTATATCTTTTAAACATCATTGGTACTTGAAGATTACCAATTTGTTTTTATTTTTTCTCAATTAAGCTTCGCTAATTAATAATCAACGAAAATTCCTCAAAAAATTCCGGAAATCATCTGGATTTTTTGGATTTTACAATCTTGCGCGTGCGCATTACATTCACGCTAAATCACGGTGTTCAAATCAGAGAAGACAAAAGTACTAAGTAGATATATATTTGTTATTTTACAATTTCTCCAATAAGAAATCATAAATATATATGAACAGAATTTATAGCAAATTTCCAATGAAAATATACACGTATTTGTATTATCGTTTCTGAGTTTATCCATGCAAATGTGATATTGTGGCCACGTGGGTATTCATTCGCCATCTCGGAGACGCATTTATTATATGTTATTTACGTCTCTGGCCATCTCAACGGAGGCAAAAACCTCATGATTGTAGGAGCAATATTAATGTAACTACCCGATTTTATTTTATCCTTCCTTTCTTTTTTGCTTTTTTGAGGGGAAGGGGGGGGGGTGTTACAGCTCCAGCTAGAATCACATTTTAGTGAAGTAGGCATTCTTTTTCCGCCAAAAATTACAATAACATTATTTTCATTTCTTAACTTTGAAATAAATCGAAATAATCAAATAACGTCAATATAACCGATATTTTCAATTTGAAATGTGTCTAAATGATTGCAACTTGAATTTGTTCGCCACGTTTACTATTACCCTCACTACTGAGATTTATAACGCAGTAAATATGAAACAAAAACTAAGGGCAAAGAAATATTTGATTCCATGCAAAAAAATTCACATTATATTTCTTACGAGAGTGTAGTGAAATTAATGGCATTATTGTAGGCTTATAGCTTTGTTATGTAAATACATGACCTCTGACCCTGACGTTATATAGAAGGGACAGCCTGTTCTTCTAAATATGTAAAGGTTGTCGTGGTAACTACGCTTAATAGGTAGTCTGAAGTCAGTCCTTGCGGCCCGTACAGTTCATTCTATCAATGCTGCTAAAATATCGATCATTTGCATAGGCGTAGGAAGCAAATTGAAAGTGGGGTGGCTAAATGAAAGTGGAGGGGCTAAACCAACGAAAAAAGGTAAGCCCCAATTTTCAATACCTATACTATGTCTATCTTTGCCAAAAAAAAGTGGGGGGGGGGCTAAGCCCCCCTAGCCCCCCCCCCCCCCGGTTACGACGCCTATGATTTGTAAAATATAATCCATGCATAGTAAATCTCAAAACTATGAGGTGGGACAAAATTAAGATCATAAAGAATATTTATTCATTGATGAAATGAATTATATTTAATCGTAGCAAACAAACTAACGTTTAATTAAATCGCCAAAAGAAAAAATACACCAGCGTGAAAACAAGTTGTCTTCTTCAGCAGCCATGACACTCCTCATGTGATGTAATGACTTTTGATTGAAAACGTTTAATACTGCAGAAGATTAACTTTTGTTATCACTAAACAGATATATAAATGTTTATGAGATATGTATTTTATTTTTGCTACATTATTTACGTATGAAGTAAGAAAAATTCCCATATTCAGTTCAAGATCCGCTCCCAAATTCTCATTGGCTGTCCCAAAATAAAATCGGTCAAGGTCAGTAAACTTTAAAGTTTGGTAAACTCAGACTTTACTAAATATTTTGAAAAAAAAAATGTTTTGAATAATTACATCAAAAACATTAATTTTAAAATGTTTCTGATTACATTGTATGATTTCAATTAATAAATGGAAATGATATTGTATGATCCAAAAAGAGTTGTAAACCCCCCCCCCCCCCCATGAAAAGGCTTCATTATTGCAGCAAGAAGAACTTTCAAGTTCCTACTTTCCTACTTAGGATACCCTTGGTAAATGTCCGATATGCACATGGATGCATTCATAACAATGTCAACCCGTGCACGCACGGGTCAAAGTCTAGTGCAGATTAATTAATAGAAGTCCCTACCCATATTAGACACTTGTGACAGTGAATGAAAGTCAACTGTTTAGCTTGTTTAGAATATAAATATCATTTTGAGAACTACTGTAAACATTAAAATGCTTAAGTAAATTCGAACAATTAAATTGAGAGATTTTTTCCAATAAATGTTCTTGCATAGCCGAAAAATGGGCATGGGCACATGGTTCGTCTTATTCCCCCAGATTCTTATCAAAAGACATGTTTACTATTACCTCCTTATCTAGTCATTTCTTGTCCCAGAGAGGCATGATTCGAGTAATTTTAAAATATGTGGTAATGATTGGAACTATCTTTTGCCTATCAGATTTCTTTCCATAGTTTAGAGTAAAATCATGATAATATGGTGAATTTGAAAGAACAATTAAATATACATATATTCTTGCCATTTTTTATGATTATTAAGCAGTAGGACACTTTGCAAAATTATGATGGGCAGTTGACAACATAGCAAAATTTGCTGTATATAAATTATGTTCTAAAAATAGTTACTCATTTACTTAAAAAATACCTTAATAACTTTCAGAAACTTTTTTATTCATGCAATTTGTTTTTATTATTATTATTTTTAGGACCAGAGTAAGCCTTCAACCAGGATTTTGAAATTGATGTTTCACTGGTTCAATTAATTGCATTTCCCATTCAGTATATAATCAAACTTTGTGATGCAAGAATAAAATTTCAAATCAGAATCACTCACCTCTTTCTTGTGGGACAAGGCGTAGATCACGTTTTCCCTCCTCGAGTTTGCTATAAACATTCATTAATTCATCAACTGTTCTCTCGCAGATGGGACGGATTTTTTGTATAGTTTTATCAAGTATCCCATTTCTTTCCTTTTTAATAATGTTGTAAATTTCTTCTGCCACTTTATTTCTCCAAGATGTGGAATTTATATCAATCGGTATAATTATTGTAACCAAAAAGGTAACCACAGTCATAATCAAGGTTTTCAGTTCATTAAACAGTACAACAATGATTGATACAACTACAACATTAACTTGCTCAAACATTTCTGATGATATTGAGATATTGAGTTTTTTGAAGTCTTGTTCAAGTTCTTCAAGTATTTTAGATTCGATGTGTACTAAAATACCTTTAGATATCTCAGATGCTAAACTCTTGACTGCTTCGTCAAGTGTTTCTTTCATCAACTCCTGTTTAAGGCGGTTCACTGTGGGCATAAAGCGACATGAATAGCTTGCACTACCCACTTTACCGACAGTTGTTCCTTGATCTTTTATGACTACATTGTGGCATAAATGTCTTAAATTTGTCTCTGAAAGTGACCTATCTGCAGCTAATGAAAGAATATTTGGAAGATCACCAACAGGTATGCTTTTTTTCATTGCATTTACTTTCTCACTAAACGTGGAAATTGAATGATGTGCACAAATCTTTGATATTTCTTCATATCCATCAAATACATGCTGAAGGAATATATTGCCTGATAGAATTTCGCTCTTGAAATGATCATAGACTTTAAGCTTAGCGTCAACAACATATACAGACTTGCTGTGTATGAGGATAGCTTTGGGTATGTCTTTCACTCTGAAGAAATCATACTTATTCGAGGAATTCTATGAAGGAAAAAAACCCAAGGTAAATATGTATCTAAACATGTTGAAACTTTTCGGAGTTCTGTTATTACTTTTTATCAATAATCTAGGTTTCTTGTAAAACCAAAAGTACTTCAAACTGTGTGTAGGTTTGACTGTTCATCATGATAACCTATTTCATTTGAGACACAGAGACATTTACTGTAATAATTCATATAAATCGCCATTATAATTTAATTCATCAAACTATGAAATATGGATATAACAAGCAGTAATCAAGCTCAAAGTCGCGCTCACTCCATGATCGGAAGATCGTGAGTTAGAATCTCGTCCGCGAATGACCTAAGTTGATAAAAAATAGGTAGCAACTGTTCCTTCGCCAAGCACTCCGTACTTTAAAGTGAAAGTTGCGGGTCATTCATATGAGACCTTAAACCCGAAGACCGTGTCACGGCAGGCGTTGGCACGATAAAGATCCCTCACTACTCAATGGCCCTGGGTGCCAAGTAAAGGTCTAAATTTGAAGCCCTTTACCGGTACATCGTGACATCTCTATATGAGTGAAAAATTCTTGAATGAGACGTAAAACAACATACAAGCAATCAGTCGATTAAGACGTTAAGCATACAATCAAATCGAAATTCAACTGAAATAATAGACAATTGGAGCAGAGCAAACATGGACTTCCGAAAACATCAGTTTCAGGTGCCATGGAGGAGTAAGAAACCCCTTTGGACTGGCAATACCCACCGTGTGCTCCTGGCATGATCGGAATATGTGGAGATCACGGACAGTATTCTGGTTCAAAAATCCATTAAACATTACAAAATAGGAGCAGAGTGATCACGGACATCTAAGAGATCAGAGGTGGGATCAGGTGCCATGGAGGAGTGAGCATCCCCTGCCGACCGGTAACACCCGCCGAGTGCTCCTTGTCATGATCGGGAAATAAAAATCCGTCCACAATGCAGTGTGTAAAATAATGATCTAACAATTAGTTTGAAAATTTCAGTTAGGATTTGACTTAATTAAAGATTGTATTTGCTGGCAAGGTTATTGTATCGATCATAAAACTTGCGAAATGATGACTTTCAACGAGACTGCTGATATTCTTGTTTCATCAACTTGTTTGTCAATAACTTACCTCGTTTTAGAAATTGTTCGTACGTAGAGCATATTTGGCGTATCGAATCAACTTAGAGAGATATAAACCTTGTATTCAGGTGTTAAGGGTAAACGGTAAAATCTTTGGAAAATTCAACGTGTAAATAATGACCTAAGAGTATTGAACAAAAACTGTTTTTACTTACCTTATCCAGAACTTCTAGGCCATAACTTCCCAATCTCACATCAACCTCAAAGACACACACAGTTCCATTCTTAAATCTCTCTTGGCTTTGATTCGCTGTGATCAGTTGAACTCTTCTACTAAGAGAGTCTATTTTCACTATTAAATCTTCAAGTCCTAAGGCAATTAGTATAGGCTGTGCAAAAGATTCATCTGTTTTGACTGGACAAATGTACCGAATTGATCTTGCTACCTTTTCAACATGTTCTGAATGAGTGTCTTGCGTAAAAGGAAAATCCATAATGAACGCAATTTTCTTTCCTGTCCAAAGATAAATTATTAATATTAAAATGTGGATTATGTGTACCATTCGGTTTAAATTTATATGCCTACATTTTAATGTCTATTAATTAGTGGTATACACTAGGATTTCAAAGCTTTTAATGCAAAAAAAAAATAATCTAAAAAAACCGTTGCTTTCGACTTATGTATATATCAAATGTTAAATTTACTGTTAATTGGTAAATAAGCAATGATGATGGAAAAAAGAAATCTCAAGTGTTGCATCTTCTTTTAGCTGGGTTCAGCAATGGCTTGAATGTGTTTAAAGCGGACATGTCTTGAACATTCAATTAAAGCTGAACACGCTTCGTAAAAAGAATGTGCCATATTCGATTGAACTCGAGCTGTATCTGAGGGCCCCTATATATAGAGGCTGAGCCGCTCACTTGGTCACTGTTCAGTGTAATCAATCGTCACCGGTGTAGACGGACGTATGCTGTACAGCACTTGGTAGCGAAACAATAACTGTGTGCTTCTTCTAATGCAGGAGAGTAAGATACCAAAGACACTTACAACACTTGCACAGGTCAGTGCAGTATACAAACAAACACAAATATACGTAACTGCAATAAAATGTAAACAAAGGGAATGCAAGATAACCAGCACGAACACGGGTCGCCATTACACGCCGAAACCCGTGACAATAAAGTCAGTGTAACGAATGGGAAGAGTATATCCTGGTGCAGATATCTTAGATAGAAATATCGAAAATGGCGTATGCCTATTTACGAGTCATGTTCAGCTTTAAATACACATTTCTTTTGTGCTTTTACTAGAAAGATTTTATTTACGAGTTATCTATTTTTTGGTACAATTATCTATTAACATTATGGAACCTACTATTGTTTGCAATTTTTGGTGGGCATATCTCCACTGATCCTGGTCTGCTCAAAATGTAAGTTTAATTATATAAATCATGTATTTATCACATAGATAATTCCCTATTTGATATATTACTTAAATACGAGTTTAATGAACACAGTTTTTATACTTTGTGATTTTGTCTATGGTGGCCATATTGGAACTTTATTTTTGTCGTCTCTCGAGAGAGATGACATATTATAAGCTGCCATTATTAGCTGGTGGTCTAGCGATCTAAAAGCTAGTGATCTGACAATGAAGAACTGAAGACGACGCGATTTCTATATATATATATAGAATTGTTCTTTGATATACAAAACTGCTTTGATAAGTGAGCGATCTATGAAGCAAAGTGAAAGTACATTATTATACGGACAAATAAAGCGATATGCGCGTGTATGTTTCTGCTAATATTATTGACAGTTTATATTTGAATAAGTAATAGAAAAAATAATTGTAAATGCATATCTGTCTCACAAGCACATGTTTCCTTAATAGAAAGGTGCCGTTTAAATACAAAAAAAAGAGTCTGTAAGCCGCCTCCAGGGAAAAAGTACTGGTCTAAAAACGATGGTTCACGCTTAAATACTATTTAAATATTTATTTAATAGTATTTAATAGTATTTAAATACTATTTGTGTATCTTTTTACTATTTTTTTCTATTTACTTATTTATTTATTTATTAAGAAAGCCAAAAAAACTGTACTGTACTTTTGTATATAGTGCTCTTCTCCCTCGATAAGCAGGTAACTTTCCAGCTTGTGTAAAGTTATACAACTTAAAAGCACATGTAGCTGTTGTACATCCCTGGTGCTTGTATAAAGTAAGCGTTTTTTCAGGGATGTCAGCACTGTCGTGTTTTTCCCCCTTTATTATTATTTTCTTAACAACTGCAAGTCAATTCCAGCAAGTTATTAAAAATGTTGCCTATGAAGTAAACAAACTAGTACTTCATCTTAATTGTATTTTGAACTTGGACTTTAAGAAATAATTAGAACACCTGCTTAAAATTTTAAATATTTCTCCTGAAAAAATCTTATTGAAATAGAAAATCTGCAATGCAAAATGTAATTGCTGGACTTTTCACGTTGCAGCGGACCTTTTCATGCTAGTAGTGTGTACATAAATAAACTTAAAACGTTTTTGTGACGTCACCTTTTGTTAAACCTGTGCAAGTAAATATCTTATTGTCCTGCACTCCGTCCAATAAGTTACCTTAGATGTCCAATACGATTCAACTTATTGGATAGCTGCAGGTAACATTGAAATGAAAACAAAGGGTGACGCAGAGAAATAAACAGCACTGAAAAAGCAAACATTTTAATATGATCAATGTAGAAAATTAGCAGCATAAATTATAAATATTTAACATGATAATCCTACTGAAATATGCATGAATATTCCGTAGGGTTAACTGAATGTCTCAAAGAAAATGTTGAGGAATTCATGGCAAACTCAAATTCCACTAATTCACTTTTAATTACTCTTTATTTCACATTGATACACTGAACATTCACAAAATTTGGGGGCACAAATGAAGAATCATTTTACATGTAATGGCATTGCATGGGTTTCTTTACACAATCTTTGGGTTATTTGCTTAGCTGAACATCCATTTTTCTTCCTTTTACTATACCGCTTACCAAATATCAACTGATTTTGTGATGTAAACCTGTATTTTGCTAGTTGTGACCATGGATTAGGCGTATTAGTCTCACAAGCACTTGTTTCGTAAACCATATTCTCTACTGCGAAGTTGATAGCTCGTTTAATACTCCAATCCCGCGTTGTTTGATCAAGTGTCTGTCGTTGCTTCACTCCTATATCTAACTCTATCACTACTTCTATAACAACTTCTATATCAAAAATTCTCCTAATTATCTAATTATCCCGTTTATATACTCTATTGACTCCTCTTACTCCACTTAACCCCCCCCCCCCATCCATTTACCTAGTCTAGACGTAATTAATCACTAACATCCTCCTCCCACTGATTATAATCGCCTAACTTTCTCCTCCTTACTTAATTACCGCTAGCTCCCCATGACCTGTCCACAGTCCGGGTCAAACCTCCAATAAATCTATCTAAGTGACCAATGCAGTAGAATGCTACATTTAAACTAAAACTACAGACATGAATAAGGGAATCTAAAATAAAACAATAAAAGAAAAATAATATATCTACGCTACACATAATTAATTATAAAGATGTACTGTTGGATCAACAGTATAGCTAACAATGTTAACCAAGCAGAAGGCACAGGCATATCAAATTCACAGTTTATTCATGTTGAACATCATATATGGAACAAGTGGTTCCTAAACATTGCTGCGTGTTAAGATGATAATTATGATGTTTGTTTGATGGTACAAAGCTGTAACAAATAAGAAAAATCTTGATATACACACAATGAACACGTAAACAGAGTACACTTGAACTAATGTCCGATATACGTTACCATATTTAAACGAAAAATTAGTTCAACATAATTCAGTTGCACAATAAAGGATTTAGAATAAGTTAAAATCTGAACAATTACTAATTTACCAACAGAAATTAATCACAATTTTGGCTTTTTAATAACGAATTCTGACAAGAAGTTAACAGCCTGTGCTCAGTTGTCCTGCCAGAGGGCGTCCACGTATATGGATTCCTTTTTTTTTTCTTCCTTTTGCAAACCCAAAGAAGTTTTTAAGCCTTTTATTTATTACCAAAACTTTTACTGGGACTAATCATCTAAATTATATCAGGCATTGAGCCAACATCATTACAATATCAGGGCTGCATTCCAAGATCGTAGTGGCTATCCTAGCATTCAGCTATATATAAGTGGTAGATATCTAGTCTATTTAATAGCTAGCCTAGCCGCTAAGTGTAAAATGTATGATAAAAATATAACTCTGGAATTAAAAGTTTCACCATATACGTAGAAAATAACCCCCTTTTTGTTAAAATCTTGTGTGAACTAAGGAGGCCATCCTGGATTTGGGACTTAGAATCAAATATTTATTCTAGCTCTCCCCATATCGTTCAAGACCGTAGCTTTACGTAGAGGTTACATAGCGACTACGCTCTTGAACGCAACCCAGGGTCCTATGTAAACTCGTTTCCCACGGCAACAAGCTGACACAAGACCCTTTGCGTTGTAAAGATGTAGAGCCGCCAACTGGTGATATTAAGGCAGATCTGACCATACCCTTTGTTGCTCAGTTTAAAATTAATGATTTACATTTATAGTACTTTTATCATTTAAGTTCAGTATATGTATACACTATCAGCATGAAAAGGCCCGCTACAAAGTGAAAAGTCCAGCAATAACATTTTCTTGCAATGCAGATTATCTACTCCGATAATTTTTTTTTCAGGAGGAATATTTAAAATTTTAAGCAGGTGTTCTAATTATTTCTGAAAGTCTAATAAGTTCAAAATACAATTAAGATGAAGTACTTGCTTGTTTTATTCAGAGGTAACATTTTAATAACTTACTGGAATTGATATGCTGGGGTTTTTTTAAGAAAAAAAATGACAATAAAACAAACGACAGTAGAGACATCCCTGAAAAACGCATAAACTTTAAACAAACACCAGGGATATACAACAGCTATACAAGTTACTTTACACAAGCTGGAAAGTTATCTGCTGTTGAAGGACACGAGTACTACATATAAAAGTAAAGTTTTCTGTCTCACTTAATAAATAAATAAATAAGAAAATAAACACAGTTAAAGATATACAAATAGTAATTAAGCGTGAACAAACGTTCCTTAGATCGATACTTTTTTGTCTTGGAGACGACACACAGACTTCTGTTTTGTATTTAAATAGCACTCCTCCATTAACGAAGTGCTCTATTTTACGAAACAGGTGGTTGTGAGACAAATATGCATTTACAATTATTTTTTTCTATTACTTATTCTAATATAAACTGTCAAGAATATTAGCATTTACAAGCACGTGCATATCGCTCTACTTGTCCGTAGATTAAGTAACTTAGACGTCGCTCGCTTATCAAAGCTCTTTCGTTTATCAAAGAACAATTCTATATAGAGAAATCGCTTCATCGTCAGTTCCACCATCTTATTAATAGAAATAGAAA